GGAGGTGATGCTGCCAGAAATGGATGTGTGCGATCAATAAACAAACCACACGATTGAATGTCGTGTCCAATGATTTTTGTATTGCCTTTTTTTATTGCCTTACTAGAAAACTCTGTTGGGTATATGATCGAGTTTACTAGAACTTTACAGCTTGTTGTCTGCCTTCTTCTACAAACTTCACCAAATCGAGACGCTGTCAACATTATCCTCCGATGAAGACGCCACAAAGCACACTCCTGTGATTTGGTGACTTGTTCGATATGCAAAATCTCGTCGTCACTTTTTGTAAGTTTCCCTAAAAATTCTTGCTTAGCAACCTCCAAATCAACGTCGTTCAGGTTTTTGACAGAATTCGCCATAAAACTATTATATATTTTCTTTGGAATTGCTATCCGAACTGTTAGTTATTTTTATATCAACCTTTTTTGGTCTGAGCTTCTTTCCAAGATTCTTGCATTTGAGTCTTTGTTCCATCTTAGTGATAAGCGAGATTGGACTAAGCTTAGAACGCAAATGTATTTGGACCACATAGGCAGGCCGCTCGGTATTGTGGCTCACTACAACTGCAGCACATCTTCCATGGTATGACCTCTTCTTGCAATAATTTATTCGCTTATCCCAATGTATTTTGCGATTATAGAGTTGAACTGCTCCACACTATTGTTGTCCTCATCATGAATTAAACTCACTGAATTCGTAATTAAAATTGTCGCATATGACCTTTTATTGTACATTATCAACCTTGATAAAAAATTCACTCTAGAACAATCACACCAACAAGAGTAGAGCACAACAATTCAACAACACATTATCGACGAACAGTAACAAGGGTAGAACAATACTAAATGATCACTTACTGAGTACCAAAATAGGAAACGATTTACAGGCTAGATCGCTAATCGAAATCCGACTCTGTTATTATAAAAATTTACCTCGGTAAGCACCCGCAGTCATCCTTTCCTCTTTTAAGGTAGCGTCGACCACCGTCTAAGACCAGCCCACAATCGTTTCCTTTTCACCCCCCCCCCCCACCCCGTTACCTCAGCAGATGGTGCTTGTGATTGTAGAAGCCCCTTTAACTCGTTGGCAGGGAAGGCGGTCTACACCACGGATGAGGACAACTAAAGGTTTCTAGTAAAACTCTATTGGAAACATACGGGGAAAACCAAATTTGTCTGACGGCTTGAGTTCAATGTGTACGAGAGAGAAGCGCGTATATCAACACATGTAAGAAAGAAATAGAAGCCAGCTGAATAATTAAGGTCATCACATTTCCTAGCAACGGTGACGTAGACAGTCAGACAATCTATCCTGTTGCCAATACGTTACATCAGAAAATGTACGCACATGTTGCTACAATAGGTTAGGTTACTGTCAAGCCGAAGAAGGAGGTCTGTTCGAATATTTAATTTATTATTTTGTTTCTATTTTGAATAGAATTATTTATTACATTTTAATGCGACGAATTAATTTTGATTTCCACCGATGGTGATAAAATCAACACATCCTGAGTCATTATTATATTTTGCGACAGTGTGCGATCGGAAATTGTAGCAAATACCATTACGCAATACTCGTACAAATTATCACTGCCTGCGTGCAAGCAGGTGAACACCATTTCAAAGCAGGATGACACTCCCCAATGAGCGCTAGACGGGTACTGACCAAAATCACTCATCTATGATCATGAAGGTGGAACTCTTGCATTAGAATCTTCCAAATGCGGTGTTACCAAACGAACCCTTTATACAATGTTGCAGAATTCGTGACCTTTCATTTCGATCTAAAAAGGAGCGCCGTTAGGACCGATCCGGAATCGATCCTGAACAGATTCGACACAATTCACAATTAAAAAATGTGTACCCTCAAAATAAAACCATTATTTGGGCATAGAGAATAAACTAACGTATCTTTTCAACATGCTACCTAATTCAAGGAACTGGTGTAACAGATTGGCAACGGGGCAGATTGCCGCGTCAACGTTACAAGGCAACAAGGTGCTATCCAGCCGGCTTCTATCTGTTTCTGACATATGCGTCTACACAGACACCTCTCTCGTACACATTGAACTTAATCCGTCAGACAAATTTGGTTCTCAGTGGAAGAAAACAATTATATTTCATACGTGACAAGATTTGACACTGACTTAGACTAATAAACACAGGGTGGAAAGTCTATAACATTCCAAATTAACACTCAACAGTAAGAACCTGTTGGACTGATTTTTTTTTGTTATACATGATCGTAGCTTCCTAGATCGGTCATCTTGTACCGAACATCCTTCATGCACTGATGACAGGGTTTGCGTGAGAAGTGTAGAGTCAACCTATTTGATCTCATTTTTTAATTCATTAGACAAATATTGTTCAAATTTGGCACCAAGTTACTGTACGACGGCATTTTGGCTTATCTTAAGGGGCACCCAACAAACGCGACTTTGAAAAAAAGTTGGATAATTTCTCTCACGAGTGCGAGGGTTCCGTCTAGTATTTGAGTCAGTCTTGATTACATCTCATTTTTTCTCTTTCTCTCATTACACTTTCTCCGCTAATTTTGTTATGTAAAACTATTCAGCGATTTCTAAAAATAACAACTAATTTACCAACTGTTGAACAATATCTCTAACGGACATCTATATAAAAACTGGCATCCAAATCGTTGCCGATGATAAATTGGAATGACATCATCTCATGGTGAACATGTAGGTATGTATAATAGTAGGCGCCTACCTTCAAGGCATCCGAGATGAGATCGAATGCAAGTTTAGGCGTTTCAGAGCGTTGCACCCAAAAAGGTCAATCTCGAGATCGGTGGGCAGGTACAATACACAACACGCAGATGCTAAAAATAGATCTTAGGTAATATGGCGAAATCTTTAAACAAACGGAAGTCACTCTGTTCGTAAAAAGTTGTGGGTATCGACAATCAAAAGTTATACAATGTTTGAATAATGAGATAAACAGAAGAAATCGGCACAGATTCGTCATATTTAATTTCATGTTTAACATTCCGTTTTCGAAAAAATGAGACATCACTGTTGCTGAGACGCTTACAAACTACGCCAACTGATGAGGACTTATTGTAATCGCGAAAAATTTGGAAAATGAGATAGTATGTTTTTTGGATTTTATATAATATATATAGGGTGGCCAACTAAGAATAGAAGGTACTGTATCTGGGCCCCTATCTATCGTAGAGGCTTGCGGAAAAAAGTTCTTACTTAAAACGACCAAGAAAAAAACCTGTAAAATATTCTCAAGTTTCAAGTTTCTGAAATGGACGCTAGAGATCGTAACTGCAATCTTGAATCTAAATTTAAAGTTATGTTTCTGTAAATTCCGCTATATTAATCAAACAATAAAATAAGTCGAAAATAATGTGAACTTTTTTTGTTTGAAAATTTTTGCCGTATCTCTAAAGATAAAGTGTGAGGGTATTCAAAGGTTTTCGTAAAAACACCCTGTATCGAAGCAGCTGAGCCGATTTTAACAAACTTGAGCTAGTTGAAAAGAGCTAAATGGCCATCAAAATATAGAGATTTATTTAAATTTAACTGTTTTTTAATTACATTTAGAATGCACACATATCATGTCGTTTTGCACCAGGCTTTGAAAGAGGAAGACTTTGATGTTAGGCATGATACGCGAAAATAGAGAAATTTTATTTCATTGGACTGATGAAGCCACCTGTAATAGTTTCTCCATATGGACGTTATATAGGAATTTGCATATTTTAATGTACTTTTCAGTCAGAAATTCAGTGATGTATTTACTTAGTTGACCACGAATTAGTTGGATGGAAATTATAAGGAAATAAAAAGGTTTCATAAAACCTTAACACAGAAAAAAAATTTAAGAGTGGATGTTCTCTATACGTTGCTCACTGCTCGATTTATTTCTCTCCATCTCAGACTTCCAAGCTATGTTATTATGTCCAATTGAGGTCTAGTCTGGTATACGAAACAAATGACTATCTGATAATTTCAAAGCCTACTTAGGAACTTCTGTTTTTCTGGAATAACGAAAGTTTGATAATTACATTTCATGCATTTTTGAAATCAGAATTCAAACTCTATTTATCGGCGTAAAAATCCAATACAGTGTTCATTAGAAAAAATATAGTTGGTGGTAAAGGACAAGGGTCGAAACGACATACTGAAATTCTAATTATGCCATCTTGTAGAGGAAAAAAAGTGTCGATGTTAATGTGCAATTCATTTTAAAATCACACTACAAATAAATTCAGGAAAAAATAAAACGATTTTGAGATTCGGTTTTTTTGCCTCTCTCCGAAAGTATTTCTAAGCGACATTTTGTTAGTCACCTAAATACGCAACTTTGCTCCCAATCAAGCGACTTCGTATCCTTTACAGTTTCCGAGATCCCAATGGTGAGTGTCGAATTTAAAGCACCCGGTATAATATTGCACTTGTTTTACACCAGAGCTCCAAATAAATTGGGCTACTGCTCATCGCTATAATTTGAGGAAATATTTTTTCATGAAAAGCCCAAATAGTCCACTAATAGTTCTCACAAAACCGATGTCTTTTTGATGTCATTGCACTAAATGCAATATTGTACTAGAAGTGATTTCTAAGGCGAGGGAAGTATAAGCATTCTTCTTAACGCCATTTTTTCAAAGCAAAATTGAATTTGACTGAGTATCCAGTACTCAGTTCTTTGAAAAAGTAGTACCCAGTGTATAGTATAGTAGATTATATTCAGTATATAAGTATATATCAAGGGCTATTATTAGCAGATATCCAACATTCTTGACAAACAGTTTTACAACAGAGGCCCATGGAGGTGAGCCTGCCGTATACGGACACGATCATTGCTGCAATCAAGGAATCATGAAAATCCTAAATAGTGCGATAATAGTTATAATAAAACCTACATATTTTAATGCCATTGAACTACATGGAAAATTGTACTTGCAGTTGTTTCTAAGGCATGGGAAGTATAGACTAAATCCACTAAACGATATTTTTTTCTCTTCAGGAGCTTCAAGACGAAGTATACGATTTGCTCGAGCGTAAGAAGAAGGAAACACTCGCCCACAAACGAAGCTTCTTTGTAAGAATGGTGAGCGATCCTAAGATCTACAATCCATCCGTAGCTAGAAACTTGCCTTCTAGCAGAAGACATCTTACCGAAACCGAAACTGAAGATTTGGATGATAAGGGATCTTCCGTACGACCGCCCACGTAAGTGACCATTTTGATAAGTCTTATTTGGTGCATTGAGAATATAGGGCAAGGTCCTTCGAGGTTCTTTATTTTGACGTTTGATTTTTTAAAATCGGTCGATTCGCTCTTAAGAAAATTAGTAAAATCTTTATTTATCTATATTTGCTCAGATAGAAAACAAAAACACACGAAAATATTACTTTCTATTTTGCTGAGTGTTCAAAATGTTGCCCGTTATTGGCCAAATAACGATATAGGCTTTGTTCAACCACATGTAGGATACCATGGCAGCTTTCGATGATGCGTAGACGAAATTCATCCAAACTCTCAGGTTGGGGAGTAAACAATAGATTTCAAATGACCCCATAGAAGAAAGTCTAATGGCCTCAAGTCAGGTGATCTAGCAGGTCATTCTATAGGCCCTCTTCGCCCCATCAATTTATCTTGAAACTCGTTGTCTAGCCAGTACCGAGCCGGAAGAACATAGTGAGGAGCGCCATCTTGCTGGAAATACATTTCAGCCTCATTAAGAATAGGGTTTCCATCCTCCTCGATTTGGTTTTCAATGGTTTCAGTGATAAGCGGATTGATGGTATTTTCCAACATATCCAAATAAATGTCTCCATTGAAATTTTCATTAATAAACAATGGACCAGTCACTTTGTTTCCTAAAATGCCTGACCATACATTAATTTTTTGGGGGTACTGGGTATGCCCTTCTACAAAAGCATGAGGATTTTCATTGCTCCAGTACCTGCAGTTATGCTTATTAACCCATTAGAATAAAATATGCATTCATCACTGAAGCAGATATTCTTTGCATGAATGATATTATCATTAATCGCTGCAGTCATTTGTTCACACTCACATATCGAAATCATCTTCGGTAAACTCTTGCAATATTTTAATTTTAAATGGATGAAATTTATGGAGCTTAGTAACTGTGTGTACAGAACCTAATGGAATACCAGTCGCAGCAACAATTTTGCATTTTTTATTTGCAACAGATCCGGTTTGAGTAAATTTAGTAACAAGGTCCAAAACATACCTATGCGAAGTTACCTTCCCATAGATGTCTGGCGTTAAACGTGACGGCAGTTTGCCGAGCACATTGATTTTGGGCACCATAAATTAGAATCATTTCCACTTTTCGGCTAGTGTGTAAACCATTTTCGTACTGAAATATGCATCAATAAATTAATTTTCACTATCCCAAGGTTGCCACAGAGGTATCTAACTGACAGCAAATTAAAGTCTTTCTTTCCCTTAGCAACAAATAACTAAACAGGTATAACAATGAATACAGCTCGCCCAGGATATCTGTGTTGATGAAAAGAATGCGGAAAAAAATTCGGGTTGTTATTTGGTTGTTGCCACGTCTCATCTTCCGCATTGCTGTTTATGTTGGTAGTTTGTAGACTTGTAGACTTGGCAAACCCTAACGAGCAACATTTTGAATAATTAGTGAAATAATAAGTGATATTTTTGAACAAATTATGACAAGTAAAGGTTTTTCTAATTTTCTCAAAATGAATTGAATGATTTTGAAAAATCAAACGTCAAAATAAAGGACTTCGAAATACCTTTCAAACACGCTATTACTCGATACCACTTGTCATTTAAAATTTTTAAGGGAATTACACTTTACCGTGGGGCCGAGGGTGAAAGGGGGTGTAGTAGTTTTTGGTTAAAAAAGTGTCCCCCTTGACAAATCTTTTGACGTGCCTCGGCGTTTTTTCTCTTAATCAGTGTTTTTGATAAATCTATGGTGGGAGGTTTTATAAAACATTGTTTTTAAGTATTGCTGTAACTTCCAATCACATTTTATAACTATGAATTGTATGATGGCATTAGTAAATTGGTGGTCAACTTGCGTGCTCAGTAAATTTGATTATTTCATTAATGAATGCATGGGTAGAACCGTGGAGTTGGAGTTTAAGCATTTTCAAAACTACCAACATTTTGTATTTCTTAGTTTATGTCTACTCTAAGGAATACCTCATTATAGCTAATGTTTAGGTTTCCAGCAGAAAAGTCCAAGCAATCTCAAATAAACTTGCAAATGCCCTTAACCCCTTAATCTGGCTCTACTACAGATTCCGTACTTAGCTGAAATGTCCTGTCCATAAGCCCCTACTTGCCAGATTTCATGTTTGAAAGAGTTTCAAGGTTAGGTGATCAAAGAGTGTCTCTAAAAAATATTTTTGCTTTTATATATAACTACCGTCAGCCTCCTTAATCCAACCCTCTCGCAAAACCCGTACTAAGCTGACCGTCCATAAGCTCCGACAAATTTGTTAAATAGTATTCAAGATGAATTTCTATAAACTTTTCAGTTTTTTGTTGGGTACCAAGAATTTTGAAATTAAGCCAGGCTATAAGTAGGAGTATGTTTTGTCTTTAACTTCATCCTAAAGCAATGATTATTTATTAGCAAAGTCCTCCCACACTTAAGCTAACACCGGTTTTCTTCCCTTTCCTTATAAACAAAGAAATAAATTATGATGGATCCCTTGAGTAATGAGAATTCCGAATGTAAACTCACTCCACTCTCGGAATGTCCACTTTTTGACATTATGCAGGTTGTAATATAAAATCTTATCTTTCAACTACCTGCCATTCACTCAATGAATGAAGTAGGTACGGAATGAACTAGCGGCACATTAGCTGCTACCTAGTGCACAAGTTGATATGTTACTCATTTTTTTGACATTATACACATCTTTTCTAAGGAATAATCCCGCTTGTGGAGGGTAGACTCGAGGGAAAACATCGATGACAAAATCTCCTTCACGATTATCTGCAGGATCAACAGCATTGATGCTGTTCAGCACAGTCTGCAGTAAAATCGTCCCTCAATGCTTCTCTTGATGGAGATCCAAATCTGCCCCTACTAACCATCTTTCCGAACTATGAGGTGCACTCCAATTTAAGTAAGAACGGGGGAGTTGTAGAATTTGTCCGCAGTAGTTTTTCCTGCCTTAGAGACGTTTCTTTGGAATCAGACCAGAAGAAGGTTCTCTGGCTTCGTTCAACCCCAAACCATCTCCCAAATGAATTTGCTGCCTTTATCGCTCTCCCTTGGACCATAACTGTGATGATCTACTTTATACTTCGCTATCAAAATCGACCTTTCGAACAGCAATCATCCTGCTTCAGAGGTTGTTCTTCTCGGTGATTTTATTGCCCACGATGAGCTCTGGTTGAGCTCAAACAGAACCGATGCAACAGCTCTTACTGCCGAAGTCCTACTTTTTGCCCCCCGTCTCATCACACGTGATTAGCCTGCTGGATCTATTTCTGACCACGCGTCCTGTCCTTTACACACTGCTGTCCTGATCCAGCTGTAGCAGCAGAAACTCGCTCAGGTCGCAGAATTTGGCGTTACGGAAGGGCTCAGGGACTTTCTCTCCACCTTTCTTTGGAGAGATGTTTGTTTAGCTGACTCGAATGCGGCTATCTTATTCATCATTAACTGAAACGATCTACGTTGGGATGGATGGATACACCCCTCACACTGTGAAAGTGACTAAACCAGGGTCCAACAGCTGCTCTATACAGTACAGACAAGCCGATCGCCGTCCGCAATGCCAAAGACAAGCACGATGCAAAAATTAGGCAACAGGGTAACACTGCAGCGCGATAGCAGTCGGTCTTTCCAAGCAGATTGAGGCTAACTTCACAAAGAGTATCCTTACACTGCTTACGTGGCATGATGGAAGACTAAGGCGGTAATGCTTGTCGCGATATTTGCTGCCAACCCCAAAATGCCCAACGGGCATCGATTCAAAGGGGAAAGTAACCTTCAGGCATAAAACTCTCGACAACAACAAAGCTTCTGGACCTGATCTCAACCGTACTGAAGAGATGTACAGTGGAGCTTACTGCAGTTCTTTCGCGACTCTTCCAAAAGTCTTTAAAAGTCTTAATTTACATTACGAATATATCAAAGAACCAAATATTCTAATCATATTAGATGAAAATACCCTGGTTTGCGAAATAATTGTAAAGTCTGGTTTTATTGCTGCAAGATGTTCAAGGGGGTAACAAACTTTTTATTCGACAACGAAGAATGAGAAAACGTGTTTTTTGGGATTCAATCGAAAGTGTTGGCAGCAACATTGGAGTAGATTAATCAAGTAGTTTTTGAGAATTTCTAATTATTTATCCCAAAACATCTGTTTTCCGGCCATCACTACTAGGTTTATCGAGCAATATACAGGGTTAGTTCAAATGGTATTTCATAGCAAAATACACTAGTTTACCTTGCCGATATGAATGGCAGACTAGTCCGGAAAATAAATGTTATTTTTACGCAAAAAAGGATGGGTTACGTTTTTTCTTCTAAGCAAATTCAAACAATTCGTATTTCTGAGTAATTCGCAACAAAAGGTGATCGACACATCCGCTTTGTTTTAAAGTGTGTATAGTAACATATGTTTTTAGAATATAGTAGGGCATTTGCTCAATTTCTCACAAATACGAAATGTTTGGATTTGTTTAGAAGAAAAAACGTAAGCTTTGTTTTCGCATAAAAATAACATTTATCTTTCGGAATGTTGTGATTCATATCGGTAAGGCAAACACGTGTATTTTGCTATTAAATCCTCTTTGAATGAACCCTGTTATTGCACAATAAACTAGTAGCGATGGCCAGAACAGAGGTGTTTTGGAATAAACAATTAAAAATTCTCAAAAAAGTACTAGTAAAGTATAGAATTTTGTTGTTGTTATTAAGAAGTATGAATCCCACGGATTTGAAGAATTTCAAGTAGTTGCGTGAAATTATGGTCGCATTACCAACAAGTGCCAAAACATGCATTTTGCCTCGTTTTTCGGCCATAATATTTTTGCTATTAGTTCGATCTTTTTACGTTTGATCTCATTTTGAAGGTCTCATAAATACCTAAAAATCTTGTATGAAAAGTTGTTTTGTTCCTGTCGCCACTTTCGATTGAAGCCCAAAAAACGTTTTGTCATTCTTTGTTGTCAAATAAACAGTTTTCCCACAAAAATTG